CCTGCCGTATCATGTCCTCAGTGCCCAACCAAGACCCTAGCCCACGCACGGTGCTCAGTACATATCATCCACTGCCAGGATGGACCCAGCCTTGGCCGTGCTTGACCGCCTGAGGAGGAAGTGGAATGACTCTGTGTGAACGGAGAGTATTGTCAGTAGAAACGGGTCTGTCTTCACGTCACAGAGCTTCCCCAGGGTGCTCTGGGCCACCAGCTGATGATTTAGGTGGTTCATATTTATAGGGAGACCAGGACCACACTGTGGCTTCCAGCAGGACACAAAAAACCCACCTCAGCCAATAGTAACTCATTGCAGTGTCCTCGGTCTTCCTAGCTGCATAGTGGGTGTGAAAGTGGGGGTCAGTCTGGGGAGGATCCGGGGCTTCTGTCAAAATAATAACATGGCCTAGGGTGGGTTTCTACAAAGTAGGAACTAGAAAGTGACAATTGTTGTGCCAGCCTGAGGGTGGAAGAGGTCATCTCTGGCGTGGGGGTGGAGGGAATTGGGGGTGGGAGAAGGATTAGGGGAGATGGACATGTTGAGGGAAAGATTACTGGGGCAGGACTTGCCAGTAAATAACAGTAGGTGTGGTTTACTTTGGCATCTGTGGACTGACTCCTATTTTACTGATGAGGTGATGGAGGCTCAGAAAGGTTGAGTAGCTGCCCAAGGCCACACAGCTGTGAGTGGTGGAGCTCGGCCTTGACCCTGAGTGACGTTGTGCCCCCACAGCTGCGAGCCCTTGATTAAGACCATGCTCAATGGACGGATGATCCATAAGGAAGTCGTGGTATATATATACAAGGGAATAAGATTCAGCGAAAAAAAACCGAGGAAATCCTACCATTTCTGACAACATAGATAAACCTTGAAGGCAATATGCTAAGTGGAGTAAGTCAGGCAGAGAAAGACAAATACTGCATGATTTACTCATATGTGGAATCTAAAAAACACACAAAAAAAACAACAATCCCATCAAACTCATAGAAAAAGAGATCAGACTCGTGGTTCCCAGAGGAGGGGGCTGGGGGAAGGGGGTTGGAGGAGGGTGGTCACAGGGTACAAACTTCCGGTTATGAGATGAACAAGGACCAGGGACGTAACGTGCAGCAGGGTGACCACAGTGAACACTGCTGGATGAGACACAGGAAAATTGTTAAGAGAGAAGATCCTGAGAGCTCTCACCACAAGGAGAAACTTTTTTTTCTTCTCTTTTTATTGTATCTATATGAGATGATGGATGTTAACTAAACTATTGCGCCAATCATTTCACATTTATATGTAAATCAAACCACCAAGCTGTACACCTTAAACTTACACAGTGATGTAAGGCTATTATTTCTCAATAAAACTGTAAAAAACAATCAAACAATACAGAAATGAAGAAAAAGAACCGTGCTGAAGATGGACAATTGCAATCAAATGGCATGTTCCGTGCAGACCGTCGGCAGCCCCCCAAATCCAGCCTTCGTGCTCATCTCAAACGTGGCACTGGGCACTGGATCCCTGAGGCATCTCTGCCCGGCTGACAGGGCTCTGGACCTTTCCTCCTCTGACTGGGGACACAAGGTCGGAGGTCATCATCCCCATTTATGGACGGGGAAGCTGGGTGAAGGCCCGAGTTCAGAGAGCTACCCTGGGCCAGCGCTGACCCCGAGGGGTTGCATCTGTTTAACAGTCTCCCGCAGCCCTGGATTTCCACTCCTGGCAGGAAACAAGGGCACCTGTGGGCCGATGGACTAATGGTGGTCCCCACTCCTTGACTCTAGGAGGGCAGAGGAGAGAGCACTGCTGAGGGCCTACTAAGTGCCCGGACCCACCATAGGCACTTTGCCCGCATGACCTCATTAACCCCACAGAGCCTTTCTGGTAGCTGTCACCCCACCCTACAGGCTCAGATGGAGAGGGAATGTGCCCAGGCCACAAGGAGGACACCCAGAACTCTTGACTCCAGAAGGTGGACTGCCCCCACTGCCCCTGTCCCTACTGCATAAAGTCCACTCACTTGAAATCAGAGGTGGTGAGTTTGCTCACCAGGAGCTGTCCTGTGATGGGCCGATGGGGCACCTGTGCCCTGCTGCCCCCAGTGACAATGAGCCACCACATGTGATCGTTCTCACTTGTTCCCAACCTCTTCTAGGCTCGTGTCTCTAGTGCCGGGGAGACTTGGCACTCCCCCCCGAGAGAGTCATCACCAAGCTCGAGACCCAAGCACCAGGCAGGGGCTGGCGGAGGCTGGTGTCTCAGGGACAGGAACAGAGGGGGGAGGGTCTGTGAGTAGGGGAGACACAGTCCCTGCTCCCAGGTGAGCTCCATCCAGAAGGGACAGCACATCAGAGTCAGTAGACACCTGGGCTGGGCCTGCACTGGGCGCTTTCCCATCTCTGCAGCCAGACGCCGAGAGGCGGCACACAGCCAGTCATCCCACACCCAGGTCGGGGTGGGGACAGGCCCCCATTTCTGAGCACCTCTTGGGTGCACTGAAGATGTAGCAGCAACAGAGGCCCCTGCCCTCGATGCCCCATCAGTTCCAGTTCAGTAAGTGCCGGGCAGTGGGAGCAGGGCAGACAGGATCCCTGCCTTTTTGAAGCTTATCATGGGGGGAAGGAGACAGGATCAATCACATACCCGCATAATAAATGTATAATGAGGTCTGGTGCTGGAAGGAGCCCC